TCTTCTGTGTTGGGATGTTCATGTCTTGCTGGTGTAGAGTCCCTAGGCTCTGGTGGTGTCATATTGGTTTTCCTGTTGTTGGATGTGTTCTTATATTGTCATTTTCCCATCTCTTGCTCCAGTGGGTACAGTTGGTGTCACTTCCTTTCCTGGTGTGTATGGGTCCGGTGTTCTCTTCAGGTGTGTGCAATTGACTTTGATACTCTGATGGGTTTCAAGTTGGGTGCAGGCAGGTCTGAGGCACTCGTTCTCCAGGTGGGTGAGAGCAGCACTGGCGCAGAGATGTCAGCAGACTCTGGGTTACTTGGTCTTCAGGGGTCGAGTCGTCCTGTTGAAGATTCCTGGGCAGGGTTTGCCAGGGTGGGCTGATGGAAGTTGGGCCCAAGTTAGGGGCCGAATCAGCTCACCTCTGCACTCTCTGCACTCTGTGGGGGCCCGGAATGACCCAGCGATCTCAGCAGAGACAGGATCCCAGGGTCCTCAGGGACCGATTCTAGCTGCCTACAGATCCCGGGGTGGGATTTGCCAGCCATCAGTTTATTTTTGATGTGTCACTTTGAGCATCTCTGGGGAGAGCCCCAAGAACAAGTCTTTTCATTGTTCCACAGGAGCAGAAACAAATGTTCACTTGGTGTTTTTTTTTTTGTTGTTGTTGTTTTGTTTTTGTTTTTGTTTTTTTGTTTTTGCAACAACAGTCCTGTCTTGTCTGCAAGTCATCCTTTCTGCATAATTCATTCACTCAGGCAAACATTCATTCATTGACATTAAGTGCCAGTCAGTGCGGGCCACACACTGTACATTGGGACACCCCTCGGCAAGCTTCCTTCAGGTCAGAATGGAAGTCCAGCTGTCCCCTGGGTTATTTTGCATCTCCCCTGTTTGTGTGTCCTTTCAAGAAGTTGGCTATTAGAAGCTCTGGTAAACTGTCCTTCAGGCCTCTGACACCAGAGGCCCCACAGCTGTTCTGCAGTGGGATCTGTGGGGTGATGACACATCCATACTCAATGGTCTGAAAACACTGCCCACTTCAGAGGCCACAAATGCCCACAGGAGATCCATGAAATAATGGCCTCAACTTTGCATTTTCTTTCTTCCTTCATTTAGAAGTCAGTCCAGCTCTCAACAGCCTACAGCAAACTCTGAACACTGTGTCAATTCAGAAGGGCCTGCTGGATACCAACCTCACTGCCGTCCGTGACAGTCTTTATGGGTTGCAGAGAGGTAATCATCACCCAAGACGCCTGGTCATAGTTTCCTGGGAGAATGTTTTAGGTCCTTATGCTTTCTCCCTATTTGTGTGTGCATTAGGTGATATTGATGGTGTCATCAATGGTGCAAAGAGCATGGTCAGGAAGGCCAATGGTATAACAAGTGAGATTCTGGATGGGATCAACCCCATCCAGACAGATTTGGGAAGAATTAAAGACAGCTATGGGAGTGCACGGCGTGAGGACTTCAGCAAGGCTCTGACCGATGCCAATAATTCAGGTACAGGCATCCTCGGGTCAGGATGTCTTAGCTAGTGTTCTCCATTGCTAAGACCTTGATCCATTTCAGTTCCTTTCTGGTAAAGTCTGACCTCGAATAAGAATCACATGATCTATTCAAATAGTAAGATGTTGTGTTAGAGAGACAGGGAGTATGTCTCTTTCCCCCTTTGTGTGTGTGTGTGTGATGTACATGTGGTGTGTTTATTTGAGTGTTCATGAGTATATGCAGGTAAGTAGCCAACAGAAGTTCATGCTATGTATATTCTTCAGTGATTTTCCTCCTCCTCGTCCTCTCTCTCTCTCTCTCTCTCTCTCTCTCTCTCTCTCTCTTTTCCCTGAAACAAGGTCTCAGTGTATATCCCATATCCACAACTGCCCTGGGCATATGCACATCAGGCTGCCCCTTGAAATTAAAGATCTGCCAGCCTCTGATTTCTCAGTGATAGGATTAAAGATGTGTACCACCATGCCCTATGTACCTCCTGTCTCTTAAAAAAAATGTGTGTGTGTGTGTGTGTGTGTGTGTGTGTGTGTGTGTGTGTGTGTGTGTGTGTGTGTGTGTGTGTGTGTGTGTGTGTGTGTGTGTGTGTGTTGATTTTGAGAAATGGTTTCTCTGTGTAGCCCTAGCTGTCCCTGAAGTCACTTTGTAGACCAGTCTAGCCTGAAACTCAGAGATCCACCTGCCTCTGCCTCCCAAGTGCTGGGTAAGGCATGTGCCACCATGCCTAGCCAGAGGACAGTTTTGAGTGTTGGTCTTTGCCTTCCACTTTGTTTTGAGACAGAGTCTCTTGTTGTTCACTCTCTGTGTGCCACACTAGCGAGCCTGTTAGCTTCTGGAGAGCCTCTTGTCTCTTCTACCTTTGAGAAGCAATGATGCATGGTGGACTCATGCACCACCTTCAGTGTTGATGTGGGTTCTGGGGATTCACCCTCGGGTCCTCATTCTTGAACAGCAGCTGATTTACGCACTAGGCTATCTCCCCATCCCTTCCACTTTATTTTAGGAGACAGGGTCTCTCATTGATGCTGGAGCTCATAGCTGAAGATCATGCAGATTAGCTGGCCAGCAATCTCATCAGTTCTCTATCTCCAACTTTTCAGCGCTAGGCACATGCTTGCACAACAGTTACTTTACCAATTAAGCTATCTCCCCAGCCCCATGTGCCCTGTAGGTTTCTCTTTTCTTTTCTTCTTCTTTTTCTTTCTTTCTTTCTTTTTTCTTTCTTTCTTTTCCTTCCTTCCCTTTTTCTCTTTTTTTGTGGTAAAGAGTTCTTAATCATGATGTATTAACTTATGATTACTATTAAAGGATAAGAGAAGAAATATTTTCCCATATTAACCAAGGAAAAGAATTTGATACCTATATCATTATAGAAATCTATAATGAATTTAGGAAGAGTTTTGCCTGATTATAATCAATCTTGTTCCCAGGATTGCCAGAACAAATATTCCCATCACAGACATCTGCATTTAACCTTTTCTCAATGTACTGGGTAAAATTTCCATTTTCTCATTTCACCAACAGTAAAGAAATTAACCAAGAAGTTGCCTGATCTTTTTATCAAGATTGAAAGTATCAACCAACAATTGCTGCCCTTGGGAAACATCTCTGACAACGTGGACCGAATCCGAGAACTCATTCAGCAGGCCAGAGATGCTGCCAATAAGGTGGGTGCCCTGAGCTTCCATAGCTGCTGCTGGTAAGTTCCTTACCACATTCATCAAGACACCAGAGGCTTTCATTTATATAAGAACTGGTTGTCTGTCTTCTCTTAATTCTGATTTTAAATTAAGTTTAACTTCCTTTTGTCACCTTTCAAAATGTACCCAACCCTAGTCATCTAAATTCTGTATTGTATAAGGCACCTGAAGCAGTTTCCATGCATTGAGTTCACACAGGCAGAAAGGAGTTTCTCTCAGGCCTCATTGTTTAAACTGTAATTGCAAGGTCAAATACAATACAATATCCAGCAAAGAAAGCAAATTATAAAAGTATGGTCATTTACCGTTTACATGAAAACATTTAAATGTGAAAAATAAAGCAGTGATAGCTGACAGGTAAGTAGATTCATCTATAGTCGCAGATGAATCCTATTGCAGGAAAAATAGTGAAACCTGCATGCACATTTGTGTGAGATTTCAGCTTCATGGTGGTAGTGGCTGTGAAGGGAGAGGAGGTGGCAGGAACAGGGCTGTCAGGTAGGTTTCCTGACCTAAGGTGTGTGGCCTCAGACACAGGTGTGTGGCCTCCATCTTTTACTGTCTATACAAAGTATCTTCTTAATTTAAAAGACAAAGATGAGTTCACCAGGGGACAGAAAGCTGAAGGGCTTGCCATGAGGAGACTAAGCAGTATGGTTGGGTCTCCTGGAGGGCAGGTGGTGAGTGGAAGAGAGAACCACAAAGTGGGTGAGAGGACCCTGGCCACACCATCACATGCCCAGGATGCTAGGAAACACTCTAATGCTTGACAGGTAAAGCATGTGTTAGTGTCGTGTGAGTGTCATTCTAACATGGCTGTTCTTTTGATTGCTAGAGGATGTTTGTTTTCTGTGGTATAGACTGGACCTGCCCAGTCATGGTCCACAGACCTGTGCTAATTGGATGATGCTTGTTGACAGTTCATAACATCTAAGTGTGATGTTAAGCAGTAATGTCTGGGAAGTTTTAATGCTTTGAATTGTATGTGGTTGGTGGACTTCCAGTTCATATAGCTTGCTCATTTCCCTTTTCTAGTAATTTTAATGTTACAGATGTGTTGGTTCATGATAGATAGGAGGGGAAGAGCGGGACAGGGCTTCCATCACAGAGATCTGAGATGCATGGTGTGAAGTCATAATGTCTGCGCGTGCCCACCAGGATGTTCAGGGACCAGAGGTCTTCATCATTGCTGTCTGAGACAGACTCTCACAGAAGCTGGGGCTTCCTAACTCATTTAGATGGCCTGGCCAGGAAACCCAGGGCTCCCCCGTTAACACTGGGATTATAAACACACATCACTGCACCATTTTTTTTTTTTATGTTGGTACTGGAATCTAGACTCGGGTTCTCATGCTTGCATGACAAGCCCTTTACTGACTGAGCCATTTCCTCTACCAAATGCATGTATGTTTACAGTCTGAATGTCTGTAATTAATGCAGGCATAGTGTGTAACAAACTCATGGGCAGCCAATTCCTTTTTAAGGAGCTTCAAAGAGCTGGGTATTGTGGGTCATGCCTGTGACCGCAGCACTTAGGGGGTGATGGCAGAGGAATCACAAATTCAAAGTCATCCTAAGATGTATAGTGAGCCTGAGGCCAGCCTGGACCACATAAATCCTATCTCAGAAAAAAACCTACTTAAAATATTTTAATGTATTTTAGCCATATGCAAGCACCATACTAAGTGGTTCTGTGAGCATTAACTGTAGGGTAGGAATTACTATTGCTGTCATCACTATCATCATCACCATCATTGCTGCACAGAAGGCTAAGTTGACTTCTTAATGGCCCTCAGCCAATTCACATTGAGAATAGATGGCTCTGCAGACAGCGTCATGAATTTATAACCTGGGTCCAAGCTGGGTATGGTGACACCATCTTTAATCCCAGGACTCGGGAGGGGGAGGCAGGTTGATCTTTGTGAGTTTGAGACCAGCCTGGTCTGCAGAGTAAGACCTTGTCTTAAACATATGTGTGTGTATATGTATGCATACGTGTGTGTGTGTGTGTGTGTGTGTGTGTGTGTGTGTGTGTGTGTGTGTGTGTGGGAGGTACCATCTCACTGTGTGTGGGGTCTGGGAGCCATTACCCCTGTCTGATGTTTCTTCAGCAGCTTGGGACCAGCTGATGTGTCACTAAGAAGATGCCTCCAGCTCCCTCACTGCACAGCACATCCTCTTTGTCATGGTTGGTTGACTCCCCATTCTTCCATCATACTGTCCCTTACAGGTCGCGGTTCCCATGAGGTTCAATGGCAAATCTGGTGTGGAAGGGGGGCTGCCAAATGACCTAGAAGACTTAAAAGGATACACTTCTCTGTCTCTGTTTCTCCAAAGACCTGACTTAAGAGAGAACGGGGGCACTGAGGATATGTTTGTGATGTACCTGGGAAATAAGGATGTAAGTATTGTTCAAACATTCCTCTTATTGCACTAACAGAATGAATGGTTTTGGAGGTGCCACCTCGAGACTTGTGACTTAACTGTCACCGCTACTTATGTGCTTGTGGTTAGAAATCCTTCAAAAACAGCAGCAAATCCTACAGCTCCACCCTCCCTTCTGAATTTGTGATCCCTCTGCTATCACCTCCTAAGTCCTGTGGTGGTGCCTATGAAAGAACTCCTGTTCATCACGGATGAAAGCAACTGGCACACATGTGTACACATGAGCACATGCATGCATAGGGTTAGTGCCTTCTCCCCAGGAAACGGTATCAAGGCTCCATGGAGACTAAAAGTGGCTGCTCCTCACCAAACTGTGTCTGTCTTCTTCTTGGGAAAGCCACAGGCCACAGCCACAGATGCCTTCCCAGGTCAGAGGGACAGGGACCATATATAAAGGAGACCTGAAGCAAAACAAAGTCTAACCTCTCTATTACTCATTCCTCACCCTATACTCATCAAACCACCGCCATCACAGACATTTTCAACAGGTGACTTTAGTTCTCTCTTTCTAAATAAGTTTCTTCAATGTAAGGGAAAGTTAGCCCTGACTGTATTGAAATAAAAATATCTAAAATATAGTTCTTGGGCTGATAACCCACATACACATGCTCACAAATAAATATATAAATGTAATAAAAAATATAAAAGATAGCTCTTAGAAATTCTCCCTGGTTAGAAAATTCTTAGTTAATTTTAACTGCCTTTACATGCTTTACAGTGTCAGTTTTTATTTGTAGCTTCTTTAAACAGTGAGTTTTGTTTTGTACTATGACAATGTAGACAGCTTTATGCCTTAAATGCACTGATGCCACTTACAATCAGATGTCTGTAGTCTCAGATTCCACATTAGGGACTCAAACAACTATGGGTTGAAGATATTAGAGCAGTGTCTGGTAGCTCAGCTCACAGTGCTTCCCTAGCATGTGCAATGAATGCCCCAGCACAGCGTAAACTGGGCCAGTGGCACACACACTGGTAATCCCAGAACTCTGTAGCACAGAAACAGGAGGGGTAGAAGTTTCAAGGACCTACTTGGGCTATGTAGGGAGTTGTAAGCTAGCCTGGGTTACATGAGACCCTATCTCAAACAAAGTGAGAAAAATCTTGCATCATAAGGGCCCTAAGCCGTGCAAGATAGCAAGTATTTGTATTACGTTCCCATTAAATGGGTGTGATAAATAGCCTACAGGAGTGTGTGCACAGGTTACATGTGAGTGTCAAAACATTTAATATAAACAACTGCAAGACCGAGTGTCCCCATGGGTTCTGAGCCAGTCCCCTAGTTGATGCAGTTGGATAACTGTCCTAATTATGTGCCACAGTTGATATTTATGATAAACTAAAACTTAAATGGCCTGAATGACAACATATGCTTAAAAAGATCAAAATTGACAGTGTTAGTATCTGTCTATCTTTCTATTATCCATCCATCTATCTATCTACCTATCCATGTATCTATCCATCCACCCGTTATCATCTGATCATCTGTCTCTCTATAGATGTTTCTTCCTTAAGGTTCTCCCATTCTAATAGACAAGAAACACACACACACACACACACACACACACACACACACACACACACACAGAGAGAGAGAGAGAGCGAGAGAGAGAGAGAGAGAGAGAGAGAGAGAGAGAGAGAGAGAAAGACTATGACAGTGGGGAAATGTCACAGAAGAGCTGGCACCCAGAGAAGAGATGTGGTTTATCTCCCTTACTGATGAGCTCTAATGAACAGCTAAGTCCGATTGCTCTGTAGTGGGTGCTGGTAAATGATTAGAGATTGAAAAATGGGGGAATCGGTAGCCCTGTCCACTAAAACACTAGGCAACATCCCCGACATTATTACTCAAGTGTTCTGTAGTGTGTGTAAAAGGATATATATACCTTATGTATTCTATCTTCCCAGAGCTTATGACATAAAACCCATTTTTTATGCAATAAAATATTTAGGAACCTGTTGATATGGAAAATGAGAGTTTGTAGTGTTTGAAGGGTTCTGCGTTCTTATCACACCCATGCTCTGGGATGACATCTGTCTGCCTCACTGTCTTAACCCTCATGTGTAAACTCTGTTTTAAAATATCTTCAAGAAACTCAATGCTGTTTTATTTTGAACAAGAAGAGTTCTGAGGTGGCCTTTATGTCCCCAGGCCTCCAAGGACTACATTGGTATGGCGGGTGTAGACGGTCAGCTGACGTGTGTCTACAATCTGGGGGATCGAGAGGCTGAGGTCCAGGTAGACCAAGTTCTGACGGAGAGTGAGAATCAGGAGGCAGTTATGGACCGAGTAAAGTTCCAGAGGTATGGTGTTTGACTGCCTTGCTGTCTGGTGTTTGCTCACCAAACTCTTCCATCAGTGTTGACCTACTGTGCTCTTAGCATGTTGGCTTTGAATTCTTTCATTCTCCCTACAACTTTATTATCTAATTTTCAACAGAATATATCAGCTTGCAATACTTAATTACACCAAAGAAGCCACATCCAACAAACCCAAAGCACCCGAAGCCTATGACATAGAGGGAGACAGCAGCAACACACTCCTTAATTTAGATCCAGAAACTGCTGTGTTTTATGTCGGAGGTTACCCAGCCGATTTTCAAGTAAGTATCAATGCTACTCGTTGGTGAAGTGCTGACATTTTGATGTGGTGTGATAGCTTCATGTCTCTGCTTTTGTACAAAATGAATTAACCATATGCTCTTAAAGCACTCCTAGTGAGAAGAGCTAAGATGTGCTTTCTTTGTCCACTGCTTTAAGCTTAATTTAATGTAATCTTTATAAATATTAATATCGTCCCCATTTTATAGATGAAGACACTCAGGTGGGGAGATGAACAACTAGCCTGGGTTTAGACAGCTCTGAAATGGCAAAGCCCTGGACTCCATTCTTCTCCCCTAAGTTACGGCCACTGTTAAAAGTCTTAGCACTGCCTGGCCACCATCCCTTCCTGTTAACTCACAGGAGGTTTGTCTTGTTTCTCTCACAGCTGCCGAGCAGACTGAGGTTCCCACCATACAAAGGCTGTATCGAACTAGATGACCTCAATGAAAATGTTCTGAGCTTGTACAACTTCAAGACAACTTTCAATCTCAACACAACTGAAGTGGAGCCTTGTAGGAGGTAAACAAAGCCTGGAGGCCTTTGTCCCTAGGGCCTGGCTGGGGATGGACAGTGCTTCAACATCTACCAGTGGAGAGCAGGCAAGGTTGCTGATGTTGCAATTCCTTGCTTGGGGTCAGTACTGCTTACCCTGTGTTTGCAGACAACACCCACCATACTATACCCCTAAGATGTAAGGACAACCATGTTGCCCTTGTCTGTGTATGGCCTCAGATTAGTCTTCTCAGTTTCAAGAAGTATGACTCTTTGGCATCTGTGAGATGGCTCTGTGGGTAACAGCATGTGCTGTGCAAGATGGGTTTGATCCCCAAATCCATAAAGAAACAAACTGCACAAAGTTGTCCTCTGATCTCCACACGTACCACAGAGCACACTTACTCAGTACATAACACACATATATGACAATAACAAATACATTTTAAAAAAGCCATCTTAAATTTTTGGTGCCTCCTGATTATTTAGGCACATAGTTGTATAATTAAATTTTAAACAACAGTAGTCTACAAGGTGAGTGACTTTCTATGTACTTTACCTTCTGAGCCTATTTGAAAATTTCTCTGTCTTAATCAATGTTCTGTTGCTGTGAAGAGACACCAGGACCACAGCAACTCTTATAAAGAAAGCATTTAATTGGAGTTGGCCTCCATTCAGAGGTTTGTCCATTATCGTGATGCTGAGAAGTGTGGTGGCACACAGGCAGACATGGTGGCACACTGGAGAGGGAGCTGGAAGTTCTACATCCAGATCCGCAGGCAGTAGAAACAGAGATGGACAGTCACTGGACCTAGAAAGCCCACCCTCAGCAGCGCACTCCCTCCAACAAGACCACACCTCCTAATAGTGCCTCTCCCTAATGACTAAATATTCAAATGTTTGAACCTATAGAAGCCATTCTTATTCAAGCCACCATGAGCTCTTGTGAACTCCTAGCCATCCCTACAATTTAAAGGATTTGAGATATTCCTATCTGAGAAGAGCAATCATTTACTATTTAGAAGGTAACACTGAAAATTAATAATTTCTTACATTTAAATATTTTCATCTAGTTGACTACTTTCTCCTAAATAGACATCTCTAGAGGACATTCTCTGTCTCTCTCTGTCTGTCTCTCTGTCTCTATCTCCCTCTTCTGGGTTCACATGGTGTGTGTATGTATGTATGTATGTATGTATGTATGTATGTATGTCCAAGTATATTCATCCGTGTGTGTGCATTTTGGAGACCAGAGGCAGACATCAGTTCTTTTTTTCTCTAACTCCCCATCTTATTTTTGAGACAGGGTCTCTCCATGAACCTAGAGTTTACATTTTGGCTAAACTAGCTAGTCAGTA